AAAGTGGTGATGTTTCTCATCCAGTTCAGTCACAAGGCAAAGGAAAGAAGTGAAGTGAGACTGGAGGGGGAAGAAGCAAGATCCAAGGCATAGCATGTTGGCTTGGGGGAACCAGCCAGGGGGCTACTGCAGCCATTCCAGCTAGGACATCAGACATGTGAGTGGGGACACTAGTTAAGATGATTCCAGGTGTTATCTGACTGCAGTTGCATGAAAGACCTCCAAATAAAAAACACATAGCGGAGGCAAACCAATCCACAGAGCTGTGAGACAGACAATTAAAAAATCACCATATGAAGCCACGAAATTCTGGGATGGTTTGTTGCACAGCAATTGATTATTGGAACAAACTCCTTTACCAGATTGCTAATGAGACCATATTTTCTCCTTGTTGATTCTTTCCAATGTATTCATCAAACATTTATTAAATGTCATCTCCTATGACAGGCTCTGGGTATAATAAGGTAAATAAAATATGATACTTTCCTCCAATGGACTACCCTCAGTTATATAATTGCTTCTCTTGAAAAATCTTAAGAGGGGAATTAATGGATATTTTAGTATTTGCTATCAGAACAATTAGTTAATACTCTGTAATAAGTTAATTTGACCCTTTTTTCCTCAAATTATCTGTGGAAAATTTTGTTTTCTTAAATAAATTATAATGCATAAAAATATAGATATAGGTGAAATATTTTTATAACCTCCTGGTAAGTGAGGTTATACAAATATCAAGACACAAAAAGCCATGAATCAAAAAATTTAAAGATTTGACTCCATGAATGGAAAAAAAAAAATTATTGTGGCAGTAAACATAATAAACACAATAAAAGAACAAATATTTGAAAGAAAAGAATTGTGTATCAATGACAGAGAAAATGTTAAAAATTTTTAATATTAAAGAGCTCCTAGATATTTATAATAAAATGTCAAACCAATAAAATATAGGCAAGAAATGTGGAAATGCAATTTATGGAATATGAAATGAAAATTAGAAATATACATATAATAACATATTTAAATTCATTAATAGGAAAAATAAAATTTGAAAGAAATTCTCCTTAAGAGAATTTTCTCTCTAATAAGGTTTTAAGGTCAATAATGTCTAGAACATCTCTTAATTCAATTTGATATGGGGAACAGGCAGTCTCTTATGCAACATGATTGCTAAAATCTTTTGCAAATTCAGTATTATTGTATTCTGTGTACAAGTAATAGTATAATCATCTTGGAAAATACTTATTTTCCAAACAGTTATGATGTAGTATAAAGTGAAAATCTTTGTGTATAAGTAATATAAACAACCTTAAAATTGTTTGTTAAAATTCTACAAATCCCACAATTGAGTCTATTATAGAGAAAAAAAAGCATCAGTATATGAGGATACATGTCTCATGCTTACGGCTGCATTATTTGAAACAACATAAATGCCAATCAGTAAGAATAATTAAATTAAAAAATCGTATGTCCAAACTGCGTAGTTTTATAGTATGCAGCTATTAACATGAGTGTGTTTCATTTATAATTATTGACTTGGAAAAATACTTATACTATTAAATGGGAAAAATTAAATGTGAAATTATGACACAATTCATTTTTATTGGTCAAAAATTAAACAGAAATAAACAAAAAATGTGCATGTAATAAATTTGTATATTTGGATATACTGATCTACCATAGATAATGTATATAAAAATGTACATAAAACTTAGTAGTATTTGACTAAGAGGTAAAAGATTAAAAGGAGTTTAAGATGGTTACTTTTATTCTATATGTATTTGTCAAATTTAAATTATTTTTCTACTTTTAAATATCTTATTTTTCATATCATTTGAACCTATAATTCTACTTCTCAGAAGTCATCTTAAGGATAATAAAAAAGCCAGAAAAAAGTGGAGAACAACTGTTGTCATTCATATTATATATTATGACTAAGTTGAAAACACCCAAAAAATTCAGTCACAGGGAACTGATCAAGTAAATCAGGTTGAAGTCTTAATTATGATACCTGTTTATATTAAAAGTATGTCTTTCAAGGAGCTTTTAATGATCTTGGAAAATAATAGCTTTTAATGAACTTGGAAAATAATGATCTTGGAAAATGATTTTGGAAAACAGTTTTAATGATCTTGGAAAATATGATACTTCTTCATATTAAAAGTATGTCTTTCAAAGAACTTTTAATGACCTTGGAAAATAGTTAATGATCTTGGAAAATACTTGGATGTAGTATAAGTGAAAAAAGGAGGATAATCTTTGTGTACAATAATATGAACAACCTTAAAACACAATTATGCCTATAGAGATACACACATACACACAGAAAGAAAAAAATAATCTAGAAGAAAACTATTGTGATGAAATCTTGCTACAATTAGGAGTGATATTAGTTTCAATTTACTTTTTAGACTTCTCTATAATTTCTGAAATTTTTATAGTAACTGTCATTGGTTTTCTAATTCTCCAAAAGAATATATCACAGCCAACATGAAAATATCACAATGAGTCAGGAATTTTGTGACTTCTTTAACAAGGTATTAGTTGATTATCCCTCTAATCAAGGTAAAACTTTGTTTCTGATATCTGTATAAAAGACTTAATTATTTCCCATGTTTATTCACCAACGTTCATTATGCAGGAAACAAAATTAAACAAACAAAAATGATTCCATGAACTAGTACTGAATATAATGAATATTCTGAATTCTAAAACTCAATGAAGAAAGAACTACTTGATTCATTGCTTAAGTGATTAAAAAAATGAAATTCAAGAAATAATTTGGGAATATTTGAATACTAATAAAAAGATGTAATAGTTCAGCAAATTGAAGACAACAGAATGGATTAACACTGTTGGAAAAAATTAGCCTTCAAACAGCAAATATTTCCACTTTTCAGTAGATACCATTGTCTTTCATGCCTTATGCAATATAGCCTAACCAAACATTTTGATAATCTGGGAATTCAATTTAATGAAACAGCCTCTTTTCCCATACATTATTAGTAATACATTAGTTTTCACAGTGATTTAGCAAATTTATCTTTCTAATTATTTTGGTTGAACTGATGTTAGCACCCTGCAGATTGTTCTTGGTGTGAGAGAATATTTCTTCCACTCAGGCCTCAGAGTTTGGCAGCATTTAGCTAGAGATTTTAAATTTGCACTAGTTAATTCATCCCACGAATCATTAACCTAGTATAAAAAATAAACAGTGGCTTGGGTTAAGCACAGCAATTTAAATATTTTGCAGAGATTCGGGAGGATATTTAAAATGGTCAGTAGTTTTGAAGGAAATAATAGTATACTTTGTCAAGTATTCCAGATAAGGGAGGTAGATACTATATGAATAACATGCTAGTTATTACTGTATGAATATTAAAATAAAAGCAATAAAAATAAAATGTAAGCACTAGAGGAATAATCAAAAATACTGATGAGCTGCTAATCACTGTTAGTCATAGGAAGCATGGTTTTGTTTTCTTAAAATATGAACCACTTTCTTGTATAGTATCGCATTTTTGAAATACTACTGAATGTTTCACTGAATGTTTCATATTGTGATAAATATTAAAGACTAGTAATTATATGCATTAGATTATCTACAGTAATGTCATTTTTCATAGACAAGCATGGTGCTTAGCTATTAAAGAAAATAAATGTTAGTGACCAAATCTCCAATGTGTATATGCAAAGTTATTTACATTTATTACTCATTACTGATGTTTAAAATTTCAGGTTTAACATGGACATTATTTACCATGAAAATCATAAAGTGTGGTAATATTTCACTATGCATTCATTAGAATTATATGGCATTGCCATTTTTAAAAGATATAAATGTTGAACATGACCAGTATGATATGCATTTATCTAATACTTAGTTCTCCCCAAATCTTAAACTTGTCTTTGGGTACACTGTGGATTGTAGAATTAGGCATACTGAAGACAACATTTTAAATTTTTTAATGTGTAAACTTAATTGTATAAAGCTTGAAGTTCTTTATTGGTTCAAGCTTCATATTTTCTATGGCCCTGCTGCACAAGAATGAAATTAAACTCTGCCCTCTGTGAGACTTTATTAATTTTGATAACAAATGATTCTGTAATTTATTTTTCCTGTTGACACTATACAGGTATGCCAAGCAAGAGATGTATTGTACTGGTTCTAGTCTCAGTTCTGTGTCAGGATGACTAGAGCAGCCTGGGGAGATAATAAAGCTTTTGTATTCCCCAAAAACCCTTCTAACAACAAGCTGGTAAATATAAGAGATCCCAGCAGATAGCCAGTGAAATTTAAGCTTCTCTACAAAGACTTCACCTATAGAAGCTTATGAGCAGCAACAACTCAACAGCAGTCTTTGAGATCTGCGCATGTATCTAACAAACATACTTTTCCTAATTCCTTTTTCAAAAATTAAATCTTAGTAGAAAAATATGGTCACTCTTTAACAAATTTTTAAAAAATTACTTTAAACAATCTGATTTACAATATGCTTGCTTCCCTTTTCTCCTCCTTTCTCCTCTCCCATTACTGCCCTTTCCCTCCCTTTTCTTTGTTCTTTTCATTTTAATGTGCAAGGCTATTAAAGAAACTACATGATTTTGCCTACTCGTACTTTAAAAATGGTGAAAAATTTGCATTGATTTCAAAGTTTAGCCACCATTGTGGCTGATGCCCAACTCTTCTTTTCTTCTTTGCTGTAAGCATTATCATAGCCTCGGCAAAGAAATCCACAGGGGCTAGCAAACAGGCTCTCTCCAAAAGAGAATGTGTTTATAAACAAATGTTTGTCCTCTCTATTCAACCTTTACCTATTCAAGGAATAAAAGTTAACTCTGTTCATACTTTGCTATAAATTTTACTCTTAATATTTTTGGTGAAGGGTAACAGGAAAAGTAGGATTTGAATTTTTTCAAGTAGATCGTATGGTAACATTTATATTCATTCATTTATTCATTCTAATCAACCTCAGTTCCTGAATCTTTGATCTCTCTTATAGGTGAAAGGATTCTTAATGTCCATGTGAGCAAAGTTTTGGTTTCTGAAGAGGAGGAAGGATGCAGACTAAAAGGAAAGGTAAAAATGTTGTACACCAGCTCTCAGTAACCTTAGAAGATTTATATGATGCTGCAACAAGAAAATGGGCTCTGCAACATAATGTGATTTGTGACAGATGTGAAGTCAGAGGTGGAAAAAAAAAAAAAATAGAACAGCACAGTGCTGTCCTAATTGCTGAGGTATTGGAATGCAAATAAGAATTCATCAGATAGAACCCGGAATGGCTCAGCAAATTCAAGCTGTGTGCATGGAAACCCAGGGCCATGCAGAACAGATCAGTCCTCAAGATAGATGTAAAAGCTGCAATGGAAAGAAGATAGTTTTGGGAGAAGACAGTTCTAGTGATTCACATTGATAGAGGCATGAAAGATGGCCAGAAAATAACATCCCATGATGAAGGAGACCAAAAACCAGGACTGGAGCCAGGAGATATTATCATTGCGTTAGATCAGAAGGACCATGCTGTTTTTGACAAAGAGAAGACCTTTTCATATATATGGACATACAGCTGGTTGTAGTATTGCACGGCTTCTGAAAGCCCATATCCACTCTTGACAACTGAACCATAGTCATCATCTCTCATCCAGATCATGTTGTCAAGCATGGAGCCATCGAGTATGTGTTAAATGAAGGCAGGCCAATTTATTGTAGACCACATGAAAAGGTGCTTAATCATTGAATTTTAAGGTAAACTTTCTTGATAATGGCTTTCCCTTTTTTGATAAACTTCTTCCTGGAAAAACTCCTACCCAAGAGGAAAGAAGTAGAAGAGACTGATGAGATGAATCAAGTAGAATTGGTGGACTTTGATTCAAATCAGGAAAGACGACGTTGATGCCACTACAATGGAGAAGTGAATGCAGGACTGTTACAATGGAAAAGCATGAAGGTGATAAACATCATTTCAGAGCTGTTCAGTGTCAAACCTCTTAAGCAGACCAGTGATAACACTCGCTGTTGGCATTTTATGTGCAGTAGTGAATGAGCAAAGGACTGTAATCCTAATATGCTCACTACTGGCTACTGTTTTGTTTTACTATTCAACTAGAGTAGTGTTTTAAAAATTAAAAGAATAATAAATACAAATTTTTAAAAAGTTGACAAGGATGAGCATGGCCAATAAAGCTCTCTCCACTTTGGCAAAAATTTGGTTTCCAGTGTAAGTTAATAGAAGGTATAACACAAAGAGCCAGAAATACAAAGTGCTCTATTAGTGAGATGCCAGAAAAGAAGTGATTGTTCCTAATTATTATCTGATATTTTATAAAATAATCTCTTTTGAGATACTAAATATATACTGAGAATCATAAAATTGTAAACATATAAATTATCTCATTAAGTAAATCAGTGAGGCTATTTAATCCAGATAATTTAAACACTAAGAATACTTTTATTTTCCAGTAGATTGACTTTTACTTATTCTATTTATTTTCTTTTGCATAAACTCAAAGGGAATTATACTTTTTCAGACCATGTCATTTAATATTTCCAATTTTAAAGAAAAATAGAGTATTTGGCATAATGAATGTCTATTTTACTATTTGTCTTTAGGTCATATGTAATTTTTCCTCTTAAAGTTTATTTTAAATGTGTTTTACAGTCCGATAAAGGGAACACTAATACAGATTGTAATTGTATTTCAGTAATTTAAACTATTCATTCTACAACTGTGTAACTTTAAGCACCTTTAACACAAATTATATATATTGAAAGGACAGGTTCCTTCTTTAAGCTTTCCATTAGCATGTTTGGAAATATTTTCCTTACATGGAGCTTAAGCATGTTATTTGTGGCATGGAAGCACTTGAGAGATTTCTTTGGTTCACAACACTCAGGACACAGGGGACATGATCCCAGCAATGAGCTATTCACTTTGTATAAAGAGAATAAATACAATACTAATAAATGTAAACACCCTGCCTACTTTCAAGCCCCTGGATTTGGAGTGACTAAATAAGACAAATGGGCTTAGGTTTAACGTGTTTATTTTTAAACCCTTTCTGAGAGTCATTATGCCCTTGTGCATGTTGTATAACCTTTATTTCTAACCACAATGGGACTTACTTCTCCATCAGTTTTACCATAGCTTTGGACTAAATTCCTCTATTTGTTTATTTGTCTACAATCTATTGTCTTTTTTCTGTTGCACTCTACTAGAATCCCAAACCTCCACTTATCTCTGTTGCTACAGCTACGTCAAGCATATCAGCACACTCTGACAAAACTACTTTTAAATTGGGATTTTGACCTTAGACTTATGTGCTATTCTACCTTGGTAAAGCTCAAGAATACACACACACACACACGCACACACACACAAAATTATATTAAAATACACCTAAATTCCATGCTTCATTAATCATTTTCCATGAATTTTATATTAATCCTGTACATCAATGAGAGCTTTTAACAATTTCCTTTTCTGCTGTTGAAACTTCAGTGTTCTCATATTTAACCCATTTTTGGACCTTTGATCCATATCAAGATAGCCTGTGAAGACTGTTGAACTGTTTGGCAAGGTCTTCAAAGCAGAGGTTTACAAATTGTGTGGCTTCACTATCATTAGGCTGTTCAATTAATTTAATGGGCTATGAACAGACTTAAAATTGAAATAGAATAGAATAAAATACCTCAGATTGAATTTTATAATTTTTATATTACACTGAAAATGAAAAACTTGTAAAATTTTCAGTGTATGCGTGTGTATGTATATGCTTGCGGTAAATATATTACTTTCATTACTTACTTTGGTTTGTATTTGAAAAGTTTTAAAGCCTAGAGCAGGATTTCTCATGCAAGAGTTACCAAATAATCCATTTAAAACCTAGGTAAAATAATAATAATAATAATAATAATAATAAAAGTATGCATATTATTTGCTTATAACGATTATGTAATAAAATATACATGTACAAAGCTATGCAACAAATATGTATAAAGATTAGGAATAAATTTTATTATTCATTTTACTTTACGTAGCAAAAATGCCAGAAAGTTCCAGTTAAATAATACATTTTAAATTAATAACATCAACATGGCACACGCACCTGCTTTCCTGAATTTAAACTGATGAGGTTGTGTTTAATAATATGAAGATGTATTAGTACCTTTTAATTTTCAGTTGCTATTGATTTCATCTTTTAATTTTAAGAATGTTGTGTTGTCCTTGAATCACTGTGAAAGTCATTGTAGTTATTATGCACATTTACCTTGGCACTTGTTACTAAAAACTGCCATAAGCTGGTTCTAAGAGTGGACACAGTTCGTGCACTCACAATTTGCATATGATATTTACGGCAGTCATGCAGGACATTTTTATTTTTCGATTTAGCGTGCTTGCACACTCTTAACCCATACAATATCTCCATTCTCTGATCTCTTTTTTCTGTCAGAACTGATGCATAACTTTTGTTTTATATCATTCTTTGAATTCATTTGACTCTCGCTCAAAACAAATGCAGTGGGAAACAACAAGTAAATGAAAACAATAAAATTCTTAGGAGAAAAGATGCTCACAAAATGATCAAGAACATGATTGGATTAATTCCTTTTTTGCTTATGTTTGAAATACAGAATATGAAATTTAAAATCTGTCATAAAACCTTCCAGAATGTATTCTTGGAGCTTAGGATGTTCATAAATGCCAATGTGGAAAACCTGATCTAGATAATTTCTTCACATTTTGTAACTGCAGGGGTGTGTGTGTTTCATATGTACCAACTACCTGTAGAAAAATAATCTGTGATAAGAAAAATATTGAAAGAAATAAAATGTTTATGCAGGAATTATACATGTTCAAAAGTAATACTATCTACTGTGTGCTAAAAATAAATAAATGCCTATAAAAATATTTTAAAATAAATACCATTACTAACACAAGGCAGCAATTATAATGTACTTATAACAAAATATTCTTTCTAAAACTTATTAGAATTCCAACAATTTGTATTTGTGTATGTATACAATGAGCTTTGTAAAATGGTTAAGTTTTACATGGCAGGAGAACACTAAATTGCAATGCTAAGTGAACTCTACTCCCTAATTTAAATTGTGAATGCCAAAGTATAATAATATCTATTTACTCTCTTGAGAAGTTACTAATATAGCCCTCAAGTGAAAAAAGCGTGAAAAACAGTTGTAAATTAATGGGACTAGAGTGCATATTTTTTAAAAATCAGTTTGCAACCACAAGAATTCGTGTGGGTTATGAACCATACATTATGAGACATGACACTAAATGTTTAAATATAATATTAGAAATAGTTATAATTTACCAACTTTTAGAACAGTAAATAAGATTGTTCTATATAAAATATTAAATAAATGTAGATTTGATTTAATCTGGAATATATAGCTGAGGATATTGATTAACATAATCCAAGTAACTCATGTGATGCAAAGTGGAAAATCATGATTTCTAGAGTAAATAGAACTTTTAAGATTATTTTTAGAAATACAGTTTGTAAGATCATAAACAACAAAAAAAACTTCATTTTTCTAAAGTAACTTTGCAAAATTTTTTATAAGTCATATAAACAATTACTATGTTTTGACTGAGTATTGACCCTTAGCTTGAGGTACTATGTGTCTGAAGGCAAATTTTATTTTATTTTCCTTCTAGACATTTATTATATTTTTTTGAATTGGGATAAGAAAAATTTTTAAAAGACATAATTCACCCTTCCCTAATATTTACCTACAATAGAAATATCCATAGCTTACTGAAAAAAGTATTTTGGAGAAGTTATCCCATATTTTCAGTTTTAGAAGGATGAGTATTAAAAAACTGAATACTTTGGAGCAATTATTATATAGAATATACTATTGAGTGGAATATCTGAGTTGAGTAACATAATCTCCTTTTGACAGATCAGGAAACTGAGAATATGTAGTAAGACTGAGCAACTCACCCAACATTATATAACTAGTAAGTGGTAGATTCAGGATTTGTTTTTTGATGGATTCCAAATACATACAGCTTTATTGTGAAGTGCATCAAAACTCTGAAATTATAGTGGGTGGTTAAGCATAATTCTAAATGATGTTCAGACCTGACTTCTCCATGTTTAGGCATTTCTCTTTAATATTGAGCAGTTAGGGGAACTAATTTATATCAACAATTACGCATTTCCCATAAAATAAAAAGCAGAACTGAGCCTGGGCATGGTGGCTCATGCCTGTAATTCCAGCACTTTGGGAGGCCAAGGTGGGTGGATTACTTGAGGCCAAGAGTTTGAGACCAGCCTGGCCAACATGGTGAAACCCTGTCTCTATAAAAATACAAAGATTAGTCAGGTGTCATGACGTGTGCCTGTAGTCCCAGCTACTCAGGAGGCTGAGGCATGAGAATCACTCAGGCGTGGGAGGCAGAGGCTGCAGTAAGCCAAGATCATGCTACTGCACTCCAGCCTGGGGGACAGAGCAAGACTGTGTCTCAAAAACAAACAAACAAAACAGAATTGAAAGACAGCAGTACAAAATCTTGAGCATGTATTTAATTCACTTATTCAGCAATTCATTCATTCATTATACAGGTGCCATGGAGCACATAGAAAAAAAGTAATGATATTAAGTATTTATTGCTATGTAATAAAGTACCCCAAAACTTATTTTCTTTAAACAACAAACATTGATTATCTCACAGTTTCTTTGTCACGAATCTGGGTACAGCTCAGCTGGGTGGCTCTACGTTAAGGTCTCTCATAATATCACAATCAAGACTGGGGTTGTGATCATATCTGAAGGTTCAAATGGGGGAAGATCTGCTTTTAAACTCAATCACATGGTTATTGCTAGAATTCAGTTCCCCACTGAAGGGGACTGAGGTGTCATTTTTTTCATTGGCTACCAGCCAGAGGCTGCCCTTAGTTTCTTGCTAGTAGGCCTCTCCCTAGGGAAGTTCACAATATGATAGCTTGTTTACCTCCTGGCAAGCAAAAGGGAGAATAAGAGCAGATGAAAGACAGAGACGAGGGGCAAGACTATAGCAAAAGTGTCTTTGAAACTAATATTTAAGGCATAATTTTATCACCTTTGCATATTCTATTCATAAAAGGGAGTTACTAGGTGGACCCCCATATTCGAGCAGGTAGGATTCCACAAGGGCATAAATACAAGGAAGTAGGAATTTGGGAGATAATGTAGAAATTGCCTACCATAGCAATTAACATGTATTAGTTGCTGATAAACATTTGACATATGAATTGCATACCTTTTATCTCATAAATTCAATCTATAGGAATTTCCTCCCCCAAATAACTAGAAAGACAAAAAATTCTAAACATACTTATGCAAGAATAATTTGAATTGTTAAGAAAAAAAACAAAATGGTTTGAATTTTCAATAAAAATGGATTGAAGAAATACATTGATAAGTTTAAATAAACAAATAATTTAAACTTGAAAATGTATTTATATTTTTTAATTTAACATTTAACACATAAGTTACTTAACTTCATTCTTTATTCTAATGTCAGCTCTTTGTTCTAATGTTAGCTTCTTGTAATGTTATTTCTTTGTTCTAATTTTAGCTTCTTAAGTATTGAGGGAACCAGTCCCCAATATTTCAACTTAGGTTCTTTTCTATTTTCCCTAAGTGTCGGCTGGTCTGAGAAATAAAGAG